TACCGGTACGGTACGTGGTTTGTCGTTTCCCTTTTTCGTTCGGTAGTGAGTTTTTTAGGGGTTTTTTGGGGGGGGGGGGTTTTCCGTTATACTTTGGAATTTCAAACTGGGGTAATTCATCAGCAGTTGTCTACTCACTTTGATGTTCCACATTTCTTATCCTTGAGAACTTCATGGGGTTGCTTCTTATCCTCTTGTTATTATCTGACAACCCAAGGTTAGCCAGTGTCTGTCTCTGAGGAAACTTGCTTCTGGACCTCTCTCAGTTTTCTTACCTTTGAACTCAATTAGTCAAAGAACATTGGATTACACAGTGGTTTTCCACTCTAAATCTTCTCTTTCCCATTTGTGTGTGTGTTTTTTGCCCCCACTCCCTTTCAGATCCCTTTCATATTCAGCACTTGGAGGAGGCTGTGTCCTTTTTTCCAGTTATGAATGTCTTTGAGACATGGAGCTTCTGGTTATCAAATCTCTCATGTCTGCTTCTGTTTCTACTTGAGAGCTTCTGACACTTGGACATTCGAATCTCTTTTACCTCTCAGATGCACCCATATTCATAACCTTAGTGGACTCTGGTTGATTACTGGAGTATGTCCAGAAATCCACTATTTTTTTTCTTGTGTCTCTCTTTCATTCACTTCACTTCTTGCTGTTGTGATGGCTCAACCCTGGGCATTCTTCCCCTTATCTCACCCAGACTTGTAATTTTTTTATATAACTGTTTGTATACACCTGCATCATTTCTGGGGTCTGGTCTCCAGAGGAGAGATCTTCCATTTCTGTGTAATTGTTCAGATCCTGGTTTTCTTTGTCCTGGGCAGTTTCTTGTTATCTTGTTTATACCTATGGGATTTCTCTTCCTTTTTTGACTTATCTCCTTTCACTCTAACCAGTTAGGTGTGACAGTTTGTCTGGTTAGCTTATTCTTCTGTGGGTAATTACACTTTCCATTTTTTCATGTCTCCTTTCATCTGGTATGTCATCTTCTCTTGCCTCTAGCTGTCAACATCCTCTGAATATCTTGTAGGCGTGGATGTGGATGGAACTCCTTATCAACTCTTTGTGTCACATTACTTACACAACATTACAGTTCCATCTTCCCCTGTTTTTTCATCTCCCTCTAGTCACCAGTCTTCATTGAGGTGCTATGAAAGTGAGTTGTCAATAATTTCTTTTTATGAAGGTCCTACAACTACTTTATTAAATTTAATACTTTATTGATCTGTATTACAGAGATGATGGTACCTACTTAGTGGCCAGAGTTACCTCATAGGGAATACTTCTCTCCTAAAATCCAAATCAAGTAGGAAATAACAATTTGCAGCCCATCTCCTCCTCCTGCTTCAGCGGTATGTGTATCTATATTTTACCATCCAGTTATACTTCAGAAAAATAAAAAAATAAAGATGGCAACAGATATGATCTTGTCCTCACTTGCTGCCCCTTTTCACAGCAACCCAATACATAGTCTGTCTGTGTGGGACTTTATGCAGATGTGATGGTTCTTGTTTTGGTCCAGTCACCTCTCTGGCATTCTTCTCGTGCAACTTTTTTACTCCACTAGAGGAAAAGTAAGAACCTTCGCTTCATCAGCGCCAAGCCACCAGTGATGTCAGTATGGAGATTTCCCATTTGAATCAGTGTAAGCCCACTGGTATGAGATAAAGTAACCCCTCAATCAGAAGTAGAAATAGGGTGTTACCTAAAAATGTAATCTATTCCTGGTGGTTAGACCAGCTAGATAGGTCTTCAGTTTGTCCCAGGAGGCTGGTCTGGGATATTTCTCATGTTATACAGACTGACTTACTTCTTAAGCTACACTACACATCCTTTCTTAGCTCACTGCCTGAGATATACTATGTGATATTTCAGCACCATTTGGAAGGCTTTTTTGACAGTATCTTTTGTTCTACCACCTTTATTGGTCAAAGAGTATTCCCTGCATGAGAATATTGTAGTCTTCAAAATGGATGATGTGTCGCCCTCTTATAAGTGGAGGGCTGTGTCTTATGATGATCACATCATCAAAGACTGGTGCATTACACATTAATATATGTAGGGGTGAGAGTTTCATTTGAGGTTTGCTGCATTTGCAGAATTTGTTTTTGCAGTGGCAATAGGTAATAGTTATGAGTATCTATTTGAAATATATTTTAAGGTAAGGAAAATGTTAACATCTAGGAAATGATTACATTAATAAAGGGTATTTTATGCTCTTTTCTTTTTTTTCAGAATTACTGAGCATTGTGCAGTACAACTGGATTAACCTATGCTCAACCTGTGGAGTTTTTAGTGAGGAAGTTGTTGGAACAATACATTTACATATATTTTGAGAATGGCAGATTTTGAGGATAAAAATGAAGAAGGTAACTCAACCAGGAATGGTAGTGATGACATTTGTCGTGATTTCCTGCGTAACTTGTGCAGACGTGGATCTAGCTGCAAATACAGACATCCAGAGCCAAAACAGGATTCACAAGAAGGAGAAAGGGAGGAGATAAAATTTTGTCATGATTTTCAGAATAAAGGTTGTCGACGAGCAAATTGCAAATTTATGCATTGCACAAAGAGGGAAGAAGAGTACTATCTAAGTACGGGAAAATTACCAAAGCATGTACAAGATGCCTTAGGAGATAACAGAAGTGAAGTTCCAGTCTGTAAAGACTTCTTGAGGGGTTTTTGTAAGAGAGGAATTTATTGTAAGTTCCGACACCTAACACCAGAAGAATATGATATGGAGATGCGTGGAGAGAGTGGGCCTCCTATTATGGGTGAGCCTGACAATTTTGATTTTCAACTAAAACGTAAACGGTCAGCTTTTGATGATGGCTATGGGCCATTTGATGGACCAGGAGGCCCAGGGGTCTTGCTGCCAACCCCTGGCCCTGACCGAATGCCTGATGTCCAAATCTTAGAAGGGGAGAACTCAATTCTCCGACGTAAAATAGATGAACTTAAAAAACAAGTTACAGAATTAACTTCAACTGTAGAATACTTGCTGGAGCAAAATGCACAGTTACGTGCAAATAAACTTTCTGGTGTTCCCCCACCTCCTAAACCTCGCACTTTATATCCAGGTAGTGGACAAGGTGTTGGTCAACCATGGTAATTATTTATGTTCATACAAACAACTTGATTGGTTGATCTTTCACTTTCATCATGATTTTTAAGGGTAAGATTTTTGTATTACTGGCATGTGACATTCTGTAGAAGGAAAGATTGGCCATTACTGTCATTTGTTTTTTTATCAATTCTAGTTCCCGTTTGGATGAAATTTAGTCCTGTAAGAGGTTTTTAATAATACAAAAACTTGTGTCATCCAATCATTTTCACACTGTTGTTTTGTTAAGTAACCGCATAATCTGCATTTATAAAATAAACTATCACAGTCTTTGGTGTAAGAGGTACTGAAAGGTGAATTTGGTTGTTGCTAATGGATCAGATGTTGATTTTTATTGATGTTAAGTAGAGTGACAAACACTGGCAACAACTGTATTTGTACATTAGATTTTTTGTGATAGTATATCAGATTCCTGAAAACTTAGACATTTGGTATGTTCTGTATGAAATAAATGTTTTAGATAAATCAGCACATAAAATGTAATTTAACTTTTATATATTATATTTGAACTATAAATTTGATAGACTGACACATATTAATTGCCCTGACTTTAATTAAATGTAACTGGTGGATCAAATTTTTCTTGGTAGCTGTTCTGTGGTTTTCATTTTTAGTGAAAGATTTCAAACTTTGTAAGGATTCATACCACTGTATATTTTCAAGGGTGTATTTTATCTATAACTTGTCTACTTGGTCATAAGGGAATTGTTTTATATGACACCATTTCAGACGTAAAGGTTGTAATGTGTGTCTAAACAAGTACTTTACTGGAAATTCTCATTTAATGTATGTTATTCATGTCATTGTCAATAAATGTGTCTTTAACACGTTTCATTGTATAGTATTCATCTTTAAATGTTGAATACAACTGTGGTATTCAGTTTCACTGATATCCAACATGCACATAAGCAGAGAATAAATATATTTCTTTATACACACACAAACAAATTATCTTGTGTAGTCTGTATCTAGACCAGTGGTTGGCAACCTATGACCCGCGGCAATAATTTGGCTAACCTGCCAAATATTGGCTTCACCATTGCAACCCGTAAGGGCACAATCATTGTTCAGTTCAAGTTTCTCGGCTATGTGAGAAGAACAACGATATTAAAGGAAAGATGGGAAAGAGTCACGGCTACGGAGAATTTTAAGATCAATTTCAGGGAAAATATTCAACTGGTCGAACTATTAATTTTTTTTGTATGTAAATAAACATACACATTTAAAATACATGTACCGATAGCATTGTGTTGGGTCAGTGATAATCATATAATTATTAATAAATTTTTCAAAAAAAAGTAATTGACACATATTCAAGGGATATAAACCCTCCAGTTCATCCTGACTTGTACAAATCTTTTTATTACCTCATAACTTGAGTACAACCCCTTATATGATTGATGACAGAGAAACAGGGCCAAGCAAGTAAGGTATATATTCTTTGTTTGAGACTGGGGATTAACACCTATTTATGATATTTTACTTCTTGTTTAGGTGGATAATGTGTAGCAATAGCGTGACTAAATATATATTATTTCCTAGTGAAAGAAAAATGAAATGTTGCAGTTCACTTGGCTATCAAACTACTATTACTTTATTTTAAAGTTGTCAAAAAATAGTTCCCTAAAATTAAATGTTATACTATAACCATTAGTAACTTGAAATTGTTTTATTAGTCCATGTTTATGATGCAATATGACACGTTCTCTGTGACAGTCTTAAAATAAAAGAACTCCAAATAAATTGAATAGTTGTACATAAAACTTCTATGAGATAAAAATTATAGAAAATAGAATCGTAAAACTGCAATAAAATGAGAAGAAATATAAGCAAGGATTGAATATATAATTATGAAACAAAAAATTTGTAGTTGCAAAATTAAAATACCATCTTGTCATTCATTTAAGATAGACTAAATTAGTTAAATGCCATAAACTGCATACAAGATTATCAATTCATGAAATAAGTGGATACAAAACTTGTTACAAAATAAAAAATTGAACTGAATACGGGGTGTAACAAAACAAAGCTCAAGCACATAAAGAAAACTAACGTGTAAATTAGAAGAAAATACAATCACATTAAAATTTAATACAAAACTTAACCAGATCGGAAACATTTCAAAATCTATGTCACCATATGAAACCAGGTTAAGTTGAATACAAACATGAAATTGGGCATAACGAAGGATAAGGACAATTAGGGAGGTGGTTCTATCAAAACAGAAGCGGCCAGGACATACTGAATGAAATTGTAAAAGACTGTCTGACGTTAAAATGGTGATTTCATCTGTGTTGAACACAGACTCGGCTAATGGAAACTGTAAGTTTATGGGATTTTGCCCCAATTTTATGTAATATACTGTACTAACATATACTTATGCCCGGGTTTTTAACATGAATTTATAAACTGCTTTAAAATATTTCGTACATTGTGTTCTTACACATTACTTGTTGCTGAATCTAGAAAAGGAGTATTTCTAAGTTTAGATCACTCAGTGTAGAAAATAGATATTTTTAAGTTTGTGTTGCTGTTTAAATTCAGAACTACAGAGAAGTGTTTCAATTCTGATGCACATTTATTAATAGTATTGTATATGCTTATAATAATGTTACGTATTAGAAGTTCAAATAGCCTGAAATTGAGTTAAATGATACTATAAGTTTAGTAGTTAAATTGTACTTTGGGTTTAGCAGTTAAGTAAAAGCCGAAATATAGTCAGTTTATGATATTTGCCAACAAGATTGATACACATTTTTTTTAATACAAATATATTTTAATATACAATTTACAATAACAGTTATTACACACAATGATTTATATACAAAAATTTTACAAGCAATATAAAGTCTTCTTTCTACTCTGGAACTTCCTTGATATCTTATCGAGAGTTCACGATAAGCAAGTTAATTACGAGTTGATGTAGATACAGTTCGCTTAACGGGAAGCAAGCTAGCTTTGTCCCTCGTTATTCACCAGCCACACACGCCGAGTTTTCCACCGTGAAGTCATATAATGTTTTCGTAAAAGTACTAATGTCCGATAAAAATCCACTAAAGTTAAATGATTTGTAATATTCGATTGATAAGCGTTATAACAATCACAAGTATAGCTTCCGAAGTTTATAGCAAACTAATAATAGGTTCTCTTTTTTCTTTTGGCGTGTCGAGTTGGATATATTTATAGGCGTGTGGAGAGTTTCTCGAATTTACGGGAGTTTTGCAATACATATTTAACAGTATACGTTATGCATATTTCTAAATTTAATCTAAAGAAACATCGATATTAAAATAAATATATAATAATAAATCCGTCACAATAAGATTTAAATTACACGTATATTTAAAATATGATAACTGAAAGTTTCCGTTGTTCCTATTTGTTGAGGCGTGGCATGGCCAGGTGGTTAGGGCACTCGACTCGCAATCTGAGGGTTGCGGGTTCGAATCTCCGACCCACCAAACATGCTCGCCCTTTCAGCCGTGGGGGCGTTATAATGTGACGGTCAATCCCACTATTTGTTGGTAAAAGAGTTGGCGGTGGGTGGTGATGATTAGCTGCCTTCCCTCTAGTCTTACACTGCTAAATTAGGGACGGCTAGCGCAGATAGCCCTCGTGTAGCTTTGCGCGAAATTCAAAAACAAACAAACCCTATTTGTTGAAAGGAAATAGTTTCATAAGCGGAGACGGCTTTAAGTAATTTGCCGTCCAGGGTTTATCTGTGTTTGAATTCGAAATGTTCAGATTTATAATAACTTAATTTTCCATACTTTATTTACTTGCAAAAGAATGAAGTACTTCTTTCAGGCCTAATTTCTTGAACTAACTAGATGCTTATTTTAAATTTTTATAGACTGTGTTTTTGATTTAGCCATTTGTATTGTTGTTTGGCCAGATGTAGGTTTAACATCACGTGGTTAGTGTGTGTGGCTCAACATCAAAAGTCTTAGAACAGTTTGAGTAGTAAAAATGCGAGTTAGGTTAAAGTAGGTGATTATTGATGTTTGAGTTTATTGTTTACATGTATTCTGCAGTAGTGAGTTACTATTTCATTAAGTTGGTCAGGTTATTAGTTCAGTTTGGAATATTATGTTTGTGTTCTTGACGAAGTAATGAGGGGTCGGTATATGGTGTGGAGAGCGCGAGAAGTTAGCAAGTAGTAAGAATGTATTAGTCCTAATCGAACCTTATTTAAGATACGTTGTATAACGTTTTGTTAAAAAAAAACGATTTTGTTATCATTAAGTGGGCTTTACTTTACATTCTTTTGACCAAATAATCCAAAAAAAAATCGCCCAACAATAGTAAACCCTTAAAACAATATTAAAATTCCTTGTACATATATATATATTAAAAATTTCTTTTCTTTTTAACCAAGGTAGAATTGAAATGAAAATCTGTGATGTAGAGGCCTAATGCATTCCTTGATTGACCTACCTTCTGCTGTGGACTGCAGTTTCACCTATTCAAGGTTCATCAGCACAGCTTGGGTCAGCAAACCAAAGAAATACCATTAAACCTCTCATAATGGTGAAGTGTATATAATATTAAATCTGATTATCTGAAGTGCTGTGTTTATGAATTATGTTACCACTGGAGTCGCCCCATAGCATTAACACGTTGCACCAATTTTGATACTCTTCTTAAGAACTAGCGTTACTTCCTAGCACCTGTATTGAGTCTTTTTCCTAAGAACTAGCGTTACCACTTGGACATATATATTTATATAAGCCGTTCTGTGGTGACTAGTGTTATTTCCTGTCACCTGTATTCAGTCTCTTCATGGGGACTAGCCTTACTACTTGGACATACTTAGACGGCGTTACTTTTGATTAGCATTACTACACAGCACCTATATTGAGTATCGATACCCGCGGAGGGCAAAACACAGTTAGCCTATTGTGTAGTTTCGTGCTTTGCAATAAACATATGCTACATGCGTATATTGAAGTCGTTCTGTGATGACTACCGTTATTATGCGACACCTATATTGTGTCTCTTCATAAGAAGTAGCGTCTACTTGGACAAAAGTCGTTACGTGGTAACTATCGTTATTACGCTACCTCTATGTTGAAGTTGTAAATAACTATGGCATTATTATGTCGCTACGTATTCATTATGTGTGTGCGTTTTTTTTTTTGTTATAGCAAAGTTACAACGAGCGATCTACTGTGTCCGAGGGAATCGAACCCCTGATTTTAGCGCTGTAAATCCAAAGACTAACCGCCGTCTTACCCGGGGACAGATATTCATTATTATTAACGTTACTTGTCGACACGTGTAATGAGCCCTTGCATAACGTCACTATAAACACATTGTAGTCATAACATCATGACTAACGTATTATGTACGTTTATACTGGAATAACAAAAACTTGTTATCTCTTTGACACTTATAGTATCACTTGCATGTTCTGTAAAGGGTCGCAGTGTTAAAAAAATCAAAATCAAATGTGCATTCTTCTTGCATTTTTATAAACTAAGGTGAAATAATCTACCAATGTGAATTGCGAAAACGAGTGAAAGCCGCGGAAGAGGTATATTTTTTCAGGTTTTGATTCTTAATATAATGTGACATTATTTTGGGGGAAAATAATTTCTACTGACGTATAAAGGGGGAAAATGCTTTTAATAACAACGCCAAAATGAAAAAAAAAACTTACCATATGAAATTTACATAGTAATTACGTCTTATAATTCATTATATCATACCTTGACTTGTTTTCTTTCTTGCCCCAGTTTCAGAAAATACCAATATTAAAAACACAACTTACAGTAATTTTTATACTAATGCACTGCATTTTGATAAAAGTTTAGAAAAAAACGACATTTACA